TTGATATTGAAATTTAGGAATAATAAAATTTGAGACAATCAATGGACATTTTGCAAAATGAAGTATTGGATGATGGTTTTTTTTTAATTTTACCATGTAACTCGGTAATTGTGGGCTTAATTTAGTTAGTTGTCCTCACCTGTGTTTTCCTTCACTACCACATAAGATTAAAAAGAATTCCAACTATTTCAATAGTTGAAATCATGAATCGATTGAAGCTAGACCACCATGGGAAACCTGGAAGCACTGGACGGCCGTTTCGTTCTAGTATGGGACTCCTCAGCATTATTGAATTGTTTTGTTATCATCTCTTTCTCTTTGATGAGTTGTTGTTATGTTTTTTTCGCACAACGTAATCTGGTTATGGATCGTATATATAAAATGCATAATATGTTTCATATACGATTTTATCATTTTGAAGACTATAAAAAGAGAAGTTTGCTCTGATGATGTCGTTCAGAAGAACGATGAAAGCTTCACGACCAAACCATCCAGCTCAGAGAACAAAACTCCATAAAAATCATTAACCTTGGCTAAAAATCTTTCCCATCATCTAAAGAGAACTAGATTATTTTTCAATGGAATTCACAAGATATGTTTTGTTCCAATTGAATGATAACATGATAATACATACTAAAATATATTGACTATGAATAATCGAAATGAACGAACTTATAAATAATCTCAACATATTAATATACGATTGTTTGAAGTGAGATTGAAATTATCAAAGACTAGAAATTTGGCAAGATGGATTAATTAATAATTGAGAAGTATTTAAGGAATTCCTTAGACCATTCAATTAACACAAAAGCATTTTCAAAGTGAATGATTTCATAATAATTAAGTGAAACATAGGTAATTAACAATTTAATTTACTTTGGTAGTGTTAAGTTGACAAGCAGATCCTTCCCAATTTCTATATCACTTTCGAGTTTTTGTCAAAAGCTGCGTAAACAGAATTTAATTAAACTACATTCTCTTGCCTAATAATTTCAGATGACCTAAAAATACGAGTCGGGAGATTCTTGTAGATTAAGTTTCATGTTGTTACACAAATAAAGATTTTTCCAATCTTTCATCACAAACGCTTTTGACTCCTTTACTCTAAAGCTTTTAATTAGATGCTAGATGACAACAGTTATGATTTTCAATTACCACAGAAAATTGCCCATCCAAATAAGGCACTTCCAAATTGTCTTAATTTTAAAAATATCATTTAAAAATTGTTGAATGGAAGGTGAAATTTGTTTTCATTTTGTACCATTTGGTATTCTATTACAAGGTTCATTGTACTTTACAGAAGACGATGTAAATTATAGATAAAGCTCATTATTGTAGCGACTAAAAAATAATAATCATTTTCATTCTTTTTATCATACAAGCATTCATTTAAATAGTAAAATGTATTGCTTACTTTAAACTAAGGCTAAACAATCTCACTTTTAAATCAGAAAGACTGGTTCAGTGAATAGTTCTCTTCTTGGCGAATTCATTTTCAAAGCTGTACAATCACAAATATATGTATACTTATTTTTCAGGATGATAATAATTACAATAATGATAATAAACTTCTGTTAGACATGGTAACAGTGAGGTAGAATAAACAAAGGTATCTAAAAAATTTTAACCAGGAAAACTAATAATCGTGTGATTGTTGAGGACTTAAATATTCATTATAAAGAAAGATCGGAAAATTATCATTGAGAAAAAATGGCTCAGCAAGATAAGATAAAATGCTGCAATTGAGATGAAATGTAATTAGGAGAAGTATAGAAACATAAATAATCCAGTTGGAGGTAGAAGGTTTAAGGAGAAGATTGAATGGGAAGTAGATGGTTGTAAAGGAAGAAGAGAGTGAAGAAAAAAATCATGAGACATTAAGATCATGGTAGAAGAAGAGTTTGTATCAATCTCTTTTGTACACACAATTCTGGCCTTCCTAAATGTGTGGCTATTGCTTCAGCAATGTTAAGAAGATAAGATATAACTGCCATTGGAAGACTTCTCCTTATCTTGTAGATGACTCTGAATGCAGAGTTCATCTTGATTGAGTGGACTGCGTTCACAAGGTGTTCAGTTATTGAACTTCTAATTGAGCTGTTGCCTCCTCTTTTTAGCCTCACCGAGTAATGCTCTTGAATCCAATTTAACCGATCATAAGGTAAGATTTTTAATAAAACACAGAGTTAAACTATGTATTTATTATTTAACTATATTATATCCTCAACCTTTATATACTGCTTATATCAGTTTCACGATTAAAAAAGATATAAAACAAAGTAAATTTTTGACGAATTCTTACCAAGTTTCGACCTTCTGTCACCAAGCAATCTACATTCGACTAATAATATATACTACTTAAATCTGTAGCACACACCACATTATTACTGATATTGTAGTAAACGAGCATTCAGGTGGGGAAGGTCAATTTATTGTTTAATACACAGCTACGCAATGATTTGGCAGAATGTGAAAATCATACATTTTGTTTACTCTGAAGAAGTCACGAAACGTAAGAAATACAATTTTTCTACTCATTTAGATATAACAAAAAATATATCTATTTATTATCATGCATCAGATACTTCATTTTTACATCTTTGAACTATCTCCTACAAGCTTCATTGTTCCTTCATTACTGTTGTTGATCGCTTTCAACATCCTTCCCTCTTCTCTTCATCTCAACTTCCTTAAACTTCTGTGCGTAGACTCTGCACACGGGTTGAATGAAATTCGAATAAACCGTTAAATCTTACTAGCGGTTGTAATAAATGGTTACATGATTATACAACTACCTATGGAATATTGAATAGTAGCAGATAATAAAAGCTGGTAGTTCAAACAGATTAGAGAAAACTTCTTTTCATATAGATCAAACATTTCACGTAATTTATAATTTGGCTCTACTGAGTGAATAAATATTTACTAAATATTTGAAGTGGGATTTATAAGATAAAGAAAAACAACTTACGTAGAGCACTTGGCAAGAATGTTGTAAAACTTTTCATGTTGTAGTTAGAAAATAAGAAAGATATTTGTTATATCAAATAATATAAAGCATAATAAGTTCTCAAACCAATTGTATAATATACCAGTAGTTCTAAAACTTCGTTAAATAGATATTCTCAAATGATTTTTTTTAACTCAAAATGAATGACTCGTTCGGAAAAGTCAAACTACCATCAGTAAAACACTGATGACCATGTATTCTAGTCTTATAGGGAGTTTCAGTCGGTTTTTGCTATTCATCACATGACCTAACATGGAATGTATGTGAGCTCAGTTTGCTGCATCCTCCATCCACACAGTGAGAGAGGGGATAATTTATGAGGTGAAATATAGAACGAATTCAACTTCTCTACCGTGATCAATTTTCCGCCGTGTCATCTAATGTATCCAGCCATAGATTACGATTATTTTACGTCCCACCAATCGGAAGTTCGAAACAGTTTAGTATGTCTCAGACTATGAATAAATAATTTCATTACATAATGTCTTCATCTGCTCACCTTTTAGTTTTAATCTACCTACTTTAACAGTGGATAGTATTGCATATCAATTTAACCTATGGTTGAATATGTATGATATATATCCTAATTACCTCAGTTACTGAACATTTGTGATGTGACTGGTAAACTGAGGATTACTCACTATATACTTTCACGATATAGAAGCAACGTGTCGAGAAAACTTCCAAATGCTTAGAACCTAAGCATGTCTTCTACTCTCATATGCCATTTTTCACAGTTGTAGAGTAATACGGAAAGAATTAATGTGCAGTATGTCTATCTTTAAACACTGACTGTTCCACCTTTGGCACACACGTCAAGGCTGATAAAACTGTTGAATGTATATTAATATAGCACCAAATAACGGTTATAACAAGTCGGTAATAATTTTTGAGCCACTATCTTCATTTCAATGTATGCTTTTGGAATCTCTTACCGATCACATTCAAATATCAACTAAACATCGAAATCAATTGTATTCTTAGGGAATTAGAGCAATTTATCAAACTAACTTATCTATGAATTTCTGTGATGGATGATCAAATAATAAAGCTTTTTCTAATAAACAATAAGTCTCTAATCTTGATTATCGTCTATATATATATGACCTACCTTCAATAAGCGGTAAGATGACTGTGTTTTATAGACTAGACAATAAGATTTTTTATTGCGGTCAACTGAGATAAGCTCATGAACAAGTTAACAGAAAATCTGCATAAAAGAAAGAATCTATGGTCGAATAAAAAAAACAACCGGATGTAAACAAACATCACACACCCAAACCCAGTCCATAAATCCATTGAAAATATTATTAAACAAACATTACCCTAACCTTTAATATTTTTATTTCAGTAATAAAGCGGTTAGTTACCTTTTTTGTTTATCTCTTCTCTAGACATTCTTTTTCAAATTTCTTACTGTTCACCAACGAAAATTATTATTGTCACATCATCATCGTCATCACCATCATCATTAGTAGCATGTAGTTCAAATAAACAAAGCATTTACTATCCATTTTGGTTGCCTACATAAGATATCAACAGATGGTGTATGTTTTCAAACCATTGACGGACCACCCAATAAGACAAAGGCGAAATTGGTCAGAATAACGATAATAATAATTACACAAACAACATTTAAAAACACATATTTTAGTTTACGGTATACCTGTTTAGAATTTTCCGTCTATCCACAAATACACTAATGTGATTAGCTGAAACAAGAAAATGAATGAATCTATACCAACCATCCCTTGAACTAATCTCCAATAGAATTGTCAAATAATTTAGGACAAGTAAGCAAGAAAAATTTTAAAAAATTTTCATAACATTTTAGCTTATAAGCACTAAATGAAATTTCTGTGTCATAAAGAGTTTGGTATATAATTGCATCCCGGTCTGTATGTATGTAATCTTAGTCCGTAGGTTTGTAGACAAATCTATCTGAACACTGAAATATATGTGCGTATACATTAGTGTGTGTGTGTGTGTAGAAATATGGTGTATAAACTAATCAACACACTCATTTTAGAACAATAAAAAATAAATAAGAATTGTTTTCTCCATTTCTACCACATTTATGTGTATGGGCATATTTTACGCTAGATCTAAGCTTAGGTTTACGCTTACAGTACTATATATTAATTAAATCATTTAAATGTATATACAAGTAATCCCTATGCTTAAATGAATACTAACAGTATTTAATATGTATTTTAAGCCTCTATCAATACAAAAATGCAAACATTTGATAGTATTTATATTATTAACTTTATTATTTCAACCAATCTTACAATCAATGTTATTTTTTAATTCAAATGTATATTATGTAACTGGTCGGATTGTAAATAAACCATATAAATTCAATTATCAATTCAAGAAATTCTTTTCCAGTAGTATAAAGTCAAGTACTATGCTCTATCAACCTTTAATAATTCCATTTATTTCAAAATTGGATTATAATAGTGAATTGAAACGAAGACAAATAAGAAGTATGCCAATTAGATCATTCATTACGTCAAATAAATGTCCACAAGTAAGTTTTAACTGAATTGATTAAAACTATTTACATTAACTAGTGGTTGGTAGGTTTTTTTGAAAATTTAGATTTGAGAATGATGATTAGCTTTGTGCTAAGAGTTCAATTGTGTTTATGAGTTAAAATGTCTAGGATTGAATTCGGCTCCACAAATGGATTCCCTACAGAATTAGTTATTGACTAATATTATATTAAAATTCACCTCACTAATAAAATCAAAGATTTGAGATTTACAGATGATAAAAAGTTCGGACTAGTCTAGAATGATAGATCTCTAAGAATGTATTATATCAATTATAGTTTAGATTATTCAATAGTAATAATCTTTTATTTCAGCATAAAGGGATGTAGTTTGTTGGTATTTATCGAGTGGCTGGCTGAAATATTAGCTAAATTTCTTGATTTACACTTGTTACTTACATTATATTCCGTAAATCCAACTTATTTTTTATGTTTTGTAGGAAAGATTACATTCAAATCATCTGTAATGTATAGTCATTATGGATTTACTAAAAACGGTTGAGTCTTGATGTGCTTACCACTTCACCGATTATTGTTAAAAGGTGGAACGATGGCTGATTGGTTAAAACATTTATCGTCCAAGCAACAAATACCATGTCCAAAATCCACTCCATTAATTTTGATCACGTCACTTGGGTAGCATCATTAGCATTCACTCATAATGTGTGGTCCAAATAGAATAAATTAACGAAGTACTAGAATATATGATAAATGATGAAACTATAATTACCATATTCAACCTTTTGAAAGACGAAATAATGACAATCTACAATATTTAAACAGGATTTCATTAAAATAATCGGTTTATAAGTTGAAGTTTAAATCTGAAATATTTAATCCAGTTACATTAATAACTCTGTCGTTTCAGTAATCAAATTGAGACATCGAGCTATGTTGACATTTGATTCGATAAAAGTTATTGTATTTCTCTCATTTCAAAAATGTACGATGAGAACTATGACGTCTGGTTACCGGGGAATTTTGTTTATTTCACATGATATTTTCCATTGCTAATAAGCTTTAGTTAGAAAACACAGATTGTAATTAAACTCATTAATTGTTGTATTAATGTTTGTAATTCTTCATGATTTTCTTTTAGAATTTAACCTATAAATTAAAAGGAGTAATGGTTAGCGTTTTTTATCGCGTTAGTTTTCTACGGGATGGGGTCGCTAACCCCTCGTCCAACCCTCCCCCTTTATCCGGGCTTGGGACCGTCAGTAGCCTCAGAGGGGCTCCAGGCGGAGTTAAAAGAGGTAATAGGATATACATTAACACTTACTATTCCCCCAATAAAATTCATTTGTCAGACTCATTAAACTGCTCATAATATAAAAAATTAATTAGATTTTTTATTAAGGATATTAAACTTAATCTAATCATATAGAAATACCTAGTGTCAACAAGTACATTGTTTGGTATAAGTATTAGAACCTAAATGGCTGTTTGTATTAAATATATAGGAAAGAAATTATGCTAATTTCCTTTTACTTGGAATAGAAAATGAACTTCTTTAATCAGATGAACATCACACACACATTAGTTTTAAATAACTAAAATAGTTTGAATATTTAGTTTTCCCAACTATTAGGTTGACGATTGTTCTATTTAAGTAATATACTGGGCTACTCATTATTTAGATTTTATTCAGTTATTAAAAATATCTAACTATTTTTCCGCTAAAAGTTTTCTTAAATACAATAACAACAAATAACCTTTTCAGAAAGGGGTTTCGTGAATATTATAGTAATTTAATAGTTGAGTTCATGAGTCATTTGAAGGTAGACCACCACGGAAAACCTGGGAGCACTGAACGGCCATTTCATCCCAGTGTGGGACTCTTCAGCAGTGCGCACTCACAATCAAACAAATGAATGCTGAATTTAAATTCAATATCAGCAGATAAGATGAAAATACAATAATGAATTAAACATAAAATGGCATGAAGTATTCTAAAATTACTATCACTTAACAATTTTCAAGTGACCTTTGAGAAAACATATTCTGTAATATACAAGTACAAACATTGATTCTACTGAAATGATCTGAAATTATTTGTATTGCTTGCTTGTGAGTGTCATATACGTTAGCAACAAAATAAACAGCTCTTACAGACAATAGGAAAATATATGACTAACTTTAAAAGAATAATAACAATAAATGGTACTGACAACTAACCAGATCATTGGAAAATAAATTTATGTAGAAGATTAATAGTATTTTTTTGTTGAGATCATGAACCGATTGATGTTAGACCATTATTAAAAACCTGGAAGCACTAGACTGCCATTTAGTCCATGTGCTCACTAGTGACTAACTTCGTGAGGGAATTCCGAGAAGTCTAGTGAGAAGCCGTGACCAGTGGAGCTGATCCGTGTCGCGTAGAGACAGGTATCTACCTCAGTACAATGGAAGATGGTCGCTCAATTTCGTGGATTGATTGAAGTTAGACATTAAGACCGTTGGATTCCAACCAGCTCAGTGGTCTAGAGGTTAAGCGTTTGCGTGCGAGACTGAAGGCCCTGGGTTTGAATCTTGTGAGCGGGATCGTGGGTGTGCACTGCTGAGGAGTCTCATGACAGGACGAAATGGCCGTCCAGTTCTCCCAGGTTTTCAGTAGTAGTTTAACATCAATCATTTCATGATATCAATCAAAAAATTTCAAAAGTAATTAACAAATATTTGTTAATTTTTTTTACTGTTCAGCTGTGATAGTTGAAAACCAAAGCTATTGTCAAATGATAGGGACTTCGATTTTCACGGTGTTTGTGCATACATTTTGAAAATGAAGCAGATAAATGAGAAACATAAATAATTGGAACGGTTGAATGAAACTGAAATAAATGTTAACTATGTTGTTCTTTATGAACATTTCGCCTTTGAGATAACTGGATATCACTTATTGTAACATTAATGCAATTATATTTTCTTCTAGATAAATCAACGAAACCTAATTCCATTGAAAATGGTACTTAGCAAATCAAGTATAATACTAATTATAATTCTTTTAAATAGACAATAAATTTATAATGTTGTTTAAGCCATTTAATACTATGACTGTTAATCACATTTATATTTCACATTTAGAAATTTGCCTCCCTCGATAAAGTATTTGACAATGCATTAGTTAAAATTCTTTGATGACAGAAAGCATCTTTTATGTACTGATAAGTAAATGAATCCATTCATTAAAAAGAATAACTTAATCCACATAGATCATATTTCAACAAACACTTTTAAATATTACGTAAAAATACTAAAGGCATAAACTGATATTAAGTAATTTGATAGATTAAATATTCAATGGGTTACATATATTATTCATCAAATCTAGTAATATAAACCATTACGTATATTTACTCCATGATTTATGTTCACCCCTACATAAAATATGTATAAATATAAACCTAAAAAGCAAGGGTTTCATTTCTTTTCATGCCTAGAAATGACTCAAATGTACAAGAACTAATCTTCTAAAACCTATGTCATTTTTACTCCATTCTATGAAGAAAAAAAAACAATGTCTGACTGTTAAGTTACTTAAATGCACTTGAGTGTGTTTTAATCAGTAGGTAGATCGATATATGTACTTTTTTGATCTAGCATAAATCAATGTTAGATGGTGGTTGGAGGTAGTCAACAGGAAACCCTGGACCCGGGTTTCGTGCTACTTGGCACTCGTCAGCAAGGTGTACCCGTAATCTTGAGGGAACTGGTGCTCCCTGGCGGATTCGACCTCGTGTCACCCAGCTTCACAGTCAGAGACGCTACCACTGAGCTATCCGAGCCGTGACTGACCTCCTGTAGGACTGAGATGTAATCACAATTTATTGATCACTGGGTGGTGATCAATCTCATGCTTGTCTAGTCCTTATTAGTGCAGATCGAATGCTATCGATCATGTTGCATGCATACATACATAGTGCTCGCTGTGTCGAGTCACCTAGACTGGTGGCCACATTGCAACATGATCGATAGCATTCGATCTGCACTAATAAGGACTAGACAAGCATGAGATTGATCACCACCCAGTGATCAATCAATTGTGATAAATCAATGTTACCTGGGAAACATGAACCTTTCTTATTTACTACAACTAAAATCTAGGACATTACTTTGTAGTTAGTAAAACACTAACATCAATTAATAATTCCTTAGTGACTCAAAGAATCTGTAAACAATATGTATAAAATAAAAATAAACTTATTTCCTAACCCTAAAGCATACAATCAACACATTACAATTATTCAAATAAATAATATCTAATATTAAGTACTCACTAAAAGTTTATTTAAACAACTTAGGCTAAATAGAAATGCGTTACGATGAATATGGTATGAAAAGAACTCGGTATATCATAACATTATTATATATAAAGACAATTTCAAACAATAATTAACATCAAAATGGAGTTAATTTAAGCCAAAAGAATAAATGTAATAACAAATTTTCATAAGTTTATTGGTTAACTCTAGGCTTCTATGTAGTAGTTCATTCAGTTTTAAGTTCATAGGTCGAATCCATCCATTTCATAGTTTGTTAACGTTTCCACTAAGATTTACGTGCAGTTTGAACTGATTTAAAAAAATAAAACTTGAACGTATTTTTAGATTGATAATTTTGATGATCCAATAATTTTTTTCGTAAAATAAGAATTAAAATACGTAAAATTGGACTAGTTTTATGTATACTTCAGTTGATTGATCGATCACTGCTCAGATTATATGAGAAAAACAATGTACTTTGTTACAACAATTTATTGTATGTCTATTATTTTAGATGCTTTTTTGACATAAATAACATCTACAGACACTACTATTTGTTTTATCCAAAACAAATACACATTCTGAAAGCTGCATTGTTCTACACAACATCAAAATAAAGTATCGAAATTGTTTACTATGAATCATTTGTTTGTTACTAGATATTCAACGAATTCATTTAACAACCTCAGTACTTTTCAAGACTTAAATAGT